GTTGTCGTAACTTGGTCTTGTTGTCAGGGCGACTTAGTAGAACGCACTTGACTTGTCTCTTTGACGAGTTCGTAGCTTGGTGCGACGAATGGCAAAATTGACTGATGATGCCGACTATGTTGCCGGCGAAACGTTTGAGAATGTACCAAGTCGACTGTCTGATGCTGGGAATCATGACAACTACTATGGCAGACCACTTCGGACTAGCTGCGTTCTACTAAGTCGCCCTGACAACAAGACCATATTGCGACAACGATAAATAAAACTGCCCAAATAAAAACATCAGTGTTCGTAAAGCCTTACATTGATATGGGGTCTCCGGCGTGTATGGCATTGTCGTCAATCAATCCTCCCCATCCGCAAACTCATGCGAATGGCGAGTTATCAACTTTTGCAATATTATGACCTTGATCGGATAGTCACGATTCAATGAACCTGAACTCGAAAGAATAAGCCTACCGGATAGACTCCATCCCAGACTTTTCTGGGAGCATCGAGTAGGCGTCTGAGAGGATGGTGCGCTTTTCAGACCAATCTGCCACGTCTGCGCCCTCTCGAAAGTCCTGTCAAGCAGGTCGTGAAAGTGTGACGCACTGAAATCTATCAGACTTGAGCCCAGCACAGACCAAAGTCGTTTCATCCCGTCGACCTTGACGAATGCCTCGAACCGGTGATCCGTCTGCCTTTTCAGTCGTCTAACAGACAGTGCAAAGACGGTCTTAGAAACAAATGGCTCCTCTTGGAACCTTTATTTGGATCCATCTTTTACTGAACACCTCAGCTTTCCAGAAGGGCTTGAGGCCAGCCGATTGTTCGAGCAATTTTTGCGTCAACTGCTCTGCCAGTTGGCAATTTCCAACGCTTTTTTCAGAGGTCCAAAGACCCAGACGACCGTTTGCCGACGAAAAATCAACTTTTTCAAGTGGCCGCCTCGACATGCTGCTGGACTGAAGCGAGGAGGGGGTGAGCGGTCACTGAAACACATGCTCCACATCTAGCCCCTGGCAACCAGTAGTTTCTATTTGTC